GGACTACTGGAATGATATTGATAATTTAATAAGTATGCCTGTTGTGATTTGGTTATCAGAAGTTGGTAAAGATGTTACGAAAAAAAATTCTATCAATTGGGATCATACAAAAACAAAGTTAAATATTCAACATCGACAAACAATTATTCAAAATAGATTACGAGAAGCTGAACATAGTTTAAACTTTCATCTACAACAATCATATCCATTCGATTGTGAATTAAACAATAAGACTGCTTTAGTTAGTTTTTTGAATGTTATCTCTCATGGTGTTGTTACTCTTGCCGAAAATAGCTTATATTATTTCCGGACCAATTTTGAACAAAAGAAAATCTTATTAGACTTTGATATTACTGATGCACGTCTTGTCAAATTATTTTACGATTTAAATCCTACACAAGAACAGGTTTCTATTTTTATTTTTATTCCGGAATACCTTTTTATGTTTCTTTTTATGTTGTAGATTTCGAGTGTTCAAAAGATTTGGCGAGCCAAAGTTAAATCTTGTAAACAAACAATTCGCCGAAAAAAGAAGTATCATTCATCATCAATAATGCACACAATTTCAATGATAGATTTTGATCAAGATCAACAAAAAAATCTACGTTCAATACAATCATTTACTACTCCAATGCAAAAAATTATTGAAGCTCGCCTAACAAATATTGAAGAACGTACACAACAATTAATGAAATTCATTTATACTATTAATGACAATGTCTTCTTCTAAGTGTATCTAATTGTTTCTATTTCTATGTAGTTCATTTTGCATCAAGACTATCTCATGTCTTTGTACCTAAACAAATAGTTCGATTTTCTTTTCAACTTTTGTATTAGGTCATACATTGTATTAGTATATATTTTCTTTTGTTTCAGATATAGTTTGTTTCAACATTGAATAACTCGACATCAACAATATTATTTCAGGGATGAATAATCTAGGGCGCCGGAATAAACCACTGTCATCAACACCAATGTCTATGGGACAAGATAAAAAACCTAGTACAATGGTTCTAAACTTGGACAAGGTTTCTATTAGAGAAGATGAGCATTTATTGGTCAACGAAATTCAAAAAGAAGTTCCTATGAAATATCAATTAAAAGTATGTTTTTTTATTATCAAGAATACGTTTCATAGTCATTTTTTTGTTTATTTCTTTTTAGTCATTAGAAGAACCAGCTTTATCACAAAGACTAAATCAATTATCTGTGACTTCTCATCACACACCTGAACATCTCATTAGTGTTCATGAAGATGATGCGGAAAATATCCCCTATTATCTATCAAAAGAAAGTGAATCTTTTCAAAAAATGACCGGCAATTTATCATCCAATGAATTAGTCGAAAAATTACGGCAAATGGCTATTTTGATACACCAACTATTTATGATCGATTTAGAAAAATCACTTTGGTCCACTTATTTGAAGTCCGGTACAGGCCAACTCCCGGTAAATCAAATGGATAATGATCATCTTAGTCATCCACATCTTTGGCCCATTGAAGTGCAAAAACTTATGCGTCAACAATCACTTGATAGCACCGATTCGGCAGCATGTTTAACTTATGTCACACAACATCTTGATGAATTAAATGATAAAATGAAACAATATCAAACCAAATATAATATGATGAAAAACCAATACTTCAATTATCTACCAACCATTCAAACATTTGTTCACCAACAACTTGAATCTGCTCGATTGGCCACCGAACAACAAATTGCCATTGTTCACTATCATTATATAGATCATGTGTTTGAATTAAAATTTCTAGCATGTAATCCAACTCGACAGCAGGTAATCATAATTCTTTCGTTTTGTTTATATTTGAAATGCACTTGTATGTATTCATTCTATGTCAATCTTCTAAGAAACAAATTGTTCAAAAATTGGATGAAGCAAAATATCAACAAGAAAAGACTCAAGCAGAGTATAATTTATTGACCTATCGAATTTCCATGGACAAATCATCGGCAAGATCTCTCGAGTTACCTCGAGAAAAATTTTTCAAAACTATCGAAGATGAATCGATTCGACAAAAACTACATGACCAATATGTGAACATAGCACAACAAGCCAAAAAAGATATGATACAATTATGTGTCTCTACGGCTCAAACTCAAAAAGATCAATCTGCAAAAGAATTCAATACTAGATTAGAACAATTCAAACTCAAACAACAATCATTACCACATCATAAACAATTCACCAGCAACATGATTAATTTAATAGAAGAACATTGGAAACAGATCAGTGCAAGTGTAGAATCTGCTTATACATATAAACTTGATTTGATGCGTTTAACTTTTGTACATAATTAATTTAATAAAAAGTGTCCTTTTTTGTTATTGATATCATTTTTCTGTATAATAT